ATCGGAATTATATTATCCGCGAACGTTACCGGCTCGTAGAATCTCATCAGAGCCAAATCGTATTCAAATGTGTGCGCATCGAATCTTGGATGAGTGGCCACTATTTGGACTCGTCGCTCAATGTGTCCCAGAGGTTCCTTATCGTGTCCACTGAGATCGTATTCACCCAGTCTGAGCAGAATATCGTTGGGGGAAACGTTGTGAACGCAATGAGCTGCCGACACGGCCCAGTACTCGTTCAAGAGGGCGGCCCCACACTTGTGCACGAAAGAGTTCTTCTTGCGTTGACGGAGAGATATCATCCACGGCCATTTTCCGAAACGAGTGAGCTCGCCACCAACAATGCGCGCCGAGGCGAAACTCTTGGGCATCCCACAAATCGCTTCGATTGGATCGTATTCGGTCGTAGTCTCTACCGCTTGAGTAGTGGTGGTGGTCGACGTTGTCGTCGTCGATTCCGTAACCGGGTCGCTCACTGCGGTGGCCGGTACTGACGGAACTGCTTTCGTGGGGGTCACGGTTTCTTCCGTCGGATCACTCGACGCGGACGATGGACTCTCAGAGCTCATATGAGGAATTTCGCTACTCGCGGGCTGCGGCGTTGACGTACTTTCAACGATCGGTCCCGCTTCCGTGGAAACGGGAGCATTGTCAGCACTCCCCGATACGCTCTCCGATGGAGCTTGAGGTTCTGCTGTCGTCGTTGCTGTTGGCGTGGTTGTTGTCGTGGAGGAAGGCGTCGTCGGAAGGTCAGCTTCTGGGCTTGCTGTCTCTGGCTCTTTGACAGCGGGGGTTGCCTCGATATCAGCCGCGGCAGCGGCCGTCGTTGTGGTCACATCGGCTGAGGAAAAAGTCGTCGATGTCTCGGCAGCCGCTGTTGTAGTCAATGGGGGCGCGGTGGTTGTTTCTTCCGAGGTCCGGATCGTCGTTTCTGCGATCGCTTGTCGTTGAGTCGTCTCGACAGAATCTGGCTTGGTTGCCACCGGACTCGAATCCTCCAGAGCTTCAGGAGTTGTGGTGGGACGACCGTTTTTGTCCGCCTCGTCGGCGACTATCCACGTCGGGTTGCCTGTCGGCACCTCGGTGATGGCCATCGTGGTCACCTCTTCAGTGGGTCGAGGACGCGGGGTGGGGGGAACAGTGGTGCCCTTCAGCGGGAACTGGCCGGGCTTCTTGTGGTGGTTGTGCACAACTATCGGTCTCCGTTGCGTTGTGGGGGGAACTATAGGATAGAGCGTCGGAATGGCCGGTGGTATCGTGGGTTTCGGCGTTGGATCCCTTGGAAACTGCACCTCTACGACGGGCGGTCTGGAGGTGGCCACGTCTTCTCCGAATTGAACTTCGATCGCGTCCGGTGTCGTCGTTCTGACAGGTCGGCGAGTCGATGCATCGAGATGATTGGACGGCGGATTACGGTAGCCGGGTGGACTCCGGTTCGGAGCTCGAACGCCCTCGGGAAGCTTGCAGCAGCTCCCGTAGTAGAATCGATCGTGACAGAAGGTAATGTGAGTTCCACTCAAATTGAGGCAGTCCCAAGCAAACATGCAGACACCCTCTTCGCCGTACGCTCGTGCGCACAAGGATTCGGTTGGATGACGCGGCTGGCTCCGAATTTCACGTGATCCAGAGCTTGTGAAAAACTCACGAGGCCGAGAGCCACGACGAATGATACACGCATTGTTGCCGGTGGTGTAAGAGCGGTTTCGACGCTTTCTCGCCTCACGAATAGTTTACGGATTTGTGACTAGCAACTCCAAAGCATTTTCCTGGAACGAAAAAGAACGAATCGATAAGCCTTCTGCTGGAGTCGCGCAGCCCGAAAGTCGCCGGAGGGCGAGAACCGGGCTCACGTAATTCACGCGGTTCTAAGAATCGATAGTGTTTTGTCCGCGACTTTGTCCAGCAGCGTCTTCTGTCTCGTAACCGAGGGTGTGAATCAAGTGGGTCATCATATATATGGACTAGTTTGCTCTTGTGACGCATTTGAAATCGACCGTCTTTGGATGTATTTTCGGAAACATCCAAGCGCGAAGTGCGCCGTTAATTCTGAAGTCACCGACTCCGAGGCGAATTCACGCTTTACGGCCGCGACGAATTCGGGGAAAATGACCCCGCATCCTCGCGAAGCTGCTCCTGACTTCATGACGCTCGAAGAAGTATTGGTTTCGGCAGCTGCCGCAACGAAACTGCAAGTCGGGCTCCGCGTGCCGAGTTGGAATGAGTTTAAGTGTCGAAGTGACCCATTTCGGACGAGCGGCGAAATGATTCTGTAGAGCAAGAAAGCTGTAACCTGACAGAATGAGTCATTGCTAACGGTGAAAGTAACGGTGTTCACCAAGCGCTCAGCTGATGGACCACATAAAACGAGGGAAAACTCAATGGACCACCGCGCGGGTCGCCTCACGCCGCGCTCCTGTTGAACCCTACCTCTACGTGATGAGATTTCGATGATGCGCTGCTGTCAATTGTAGCTTCACGTATCCTCCGAGCAGCACAAATTTCGCAGAAAGTCGAGGGGATCCAGAGAGGAGCGAGGAACTTTTTGGAGATCGTCGGCGGTGCCGTGAGCGAAGCTCCCTCGTGTTTTTCGCGGTACGTTGCTGAAGACCGACTTCACACACTAGAGCCGTGACGTTCGCGATGAGGAGTTGGAAAAATTTTCCGAGGAGACAACCGAAGCAGTCGGACGTCGCCGCTCTAATAGCGAAGTCCACGCCGGGCGCTGCGAAGAGATACCAAGACTCCCCTCTTCCCGGAAGGGGGTCACTGTGCCAGCAGCGGCAGCAGCAGAAGCTACTACTACTACAACAACTACAGATTCTCTTTCCCAATTCGCAGTTGAAGGGGAGAACAGCAGAGTGGAAGTCACGCGGGGAACACAGGATTCCAAAAGCCACCACCGACGCTTACCGAATGCACTGACGAATGCCGGCCGAAGAAAGTGAAACGATTTCTGCTTCGCTTCTCATTCGCTGACACACTGAGGACAGACAAGAGGACAGACAAACCGACGGCAGTATCAGCAGGGAATGCTGGAACTACGCATCCTAATTACGGCACGACGATCAGAAGAACTCGAAAATTACGTTTTCCGTGAAAAAAGCTCAGAAGCTCATCTGAGAGAGCCTCGCGAGAGCTGCGGGGAACGCTCTTCGGGAGAGGGACAGCTCTTCGTAGTGAGGAAGCTTGACGCTTGTGCCCCCATCAACCCCATGCAGAGGGATTACGAAGAGCTTCGAGCGGGTGAACTTAACGAAATAAATCGACCTATCGAGCAGCAGAAGATCGGCTTTGTCGCTCAAAACTTTCTCCTCGATATCTTACAGTGTAGCGCAAGCCTCATTCCGCTTCATGCGACTGATGGAGGCTCGCCCTGGAAACTCCCGTCAGATTCTCATCGATCCTGAATGCGATCTTCGCGCTTGACATTGGTCGAATTGTTCCACCAGGGGTCGAATATTTGATCTTCGCAGACGACATCAAGTTTTATTGTCTTGATCCGAATCCAAACGCCTGTCGATTACTGCAAGCTGCAATAGATAACTCCTCGTTGCGGTGCCGGGTCGATTCTTTGCAGCTTTCGCCCGAGGAAACTGTCGTCTCGACGCACGGCCAAAGCCATTACGAACATCATCCGGACAGACTAAAGCTCCCAACGGTCGAAGTCACTCGAAATCCAGAAGTACTCATGACACCGAATTCGGGTTTCGGCTCTAAACTTCCCAGAAAAGTTATTGAGAGACCGCGCTTCGTAGCGCTTCTCGAGTTCTAATGCCCCAAACAGGGGGATCGTAAGACCTTCGAGACTAAGTCGCTCTTTTCAGGAATCGAGATTTCTGTGCCGCGGGTTCAATTTTTCGATATTTGGCGTCAGTATCCGGATGACAACGGTCCATATTCACTTATACGATGGATTTTTTCGCAATGCGTGGACAGCGTGGAAGAGTGCCATTTGATCGACCGACGAGATTTGAGGCATGAAGTCAGTCGTATTATTTCGAAGCTTCGCAAGAAGCACAAGAAATGCCGTCGAGGCCGCGATGAACTCGTTTGTTTGTTTCGTTGATACTTAAGCATCAATGAATCCGGGCAAGCATCTCATCGTTGTGATAGAAAAAGAGACAGACAGTAGTGTCTTGTTGTCTCCTTCTCGAAAAGGCGCCAGACCAGCTCCTGGCTTCCCTTTTGAGAAATTCCGAGCTCCGACCCAAGGCATAGAACACGAGAGCTAGATCATATGAGAAGTTTGTCAAGGGGGGAGAGGGAGTTTTCCATCCGCATGATTTCGTCTCACGAGCTCCGGTTCCGTGATACGCGGGGTTTGTACTGAGCGGAGCTCCGAATTCGTGTATCTCGAGCTTCGGAACATCGAATTAGACAAGCAGCGTCGGATTCGAAGTGTAAAATAATTGTTTCCACCTAATTTGGCCATTTGGCCCACTGTGCGGCGTCGCCCAGGTTTTGGAAGTTCCCGAGTTGCCCGTATCGACGATGACGGCGAGGACACCGAAATGAATCCGGAGCGACCGGTTCTCGAGGTTCAAGAACCGAATCAACGCGATATCGAGCGTCGCGAGCGCATCGAAAACGAGCATCAAGAAGCAGGGGATGAACGTACACGAGTCGAACAACAACGGTGTGTCGACTGCTGGGGGTTCACCCACCGCCGAGGTGACCCGGCTTGTCCAGCCCGAACAAATGAATGCTACTATTGTCACGAGTTCGGAAACTTTGCTCGCTGCTGTGCAGCGAAGATCGACACTATCAAGTGTTATCGTTGTTGGAAGCGGGGATTTTTCCAGAGAGATTGCGTGCAGCATCATGTGATGTTGCGAAGTTTAAAGTGATCGAGTCCGGAATCATACTTTATATGATAAAAATAAATAATAACGTAAGGAGGTAACGAGAATAGCGTGTACTCAATAGATGAGTGAGCGAGGTAGTAAATGAGGGCATTTAGTATGGTAGCAGTGGACGAACTGTAGGGGAAGTAGAACCATGCCGTGAACGTAGCGAAGCGAGTCGACGTGCATGTGTTGGGAGAAGACAGTACTTGAACGGCCAGCGTCCGAGCAGGACGCGTGTGCCCGAGAATAAACCAGTACCCGAGAATTGAGAACGTATTCGAGTAGTAATCCACAGGGAGAACCCCTACACATACCTCGGTCTCGATCGGGGCGATCCAGTTATGAAGAGGAGGAGCAGCAGGAATCGAGAGAACTCAATTAGCGTCTTGAGCGGCGATAACTGGCGAGCACTCGGGCTATGGATGGGGCTCTGGAATTTCGATATCCTCGCAGAGCCTGAGTCGAATGAGTTTCTCGCTGGCAGAAATATAACACTTGTTCAAGGAGCAAATGGAGTGGCCGTTTTGCTCCTCGGTACTGCGGAAGGAGTGGATGGAGTCTCCGAAGGGAAAGGAGAACGCGGCTCATCTCTGCATTGATAACTCAGGTAAGTCACGGATTGAGTATGACAACATTGCTCCCGGAGACCGAATCACGCGAAACGTCATGTGAGTCTCAGGTTCAGCCTCGTGGGTCCTTCGTTCACGGAGTAGGTGATGTCCCTAATTTCTTGGCCACATTGGTGAGCATACGACTGATTGAGTTCTCGTTCTGAGTGTTCACTCATCGAGTTGTCAATTCCATCAGCTCCCGTTCATCAGAGCACTCCCAGAAGCCGGGCGCTCTCTTCCCGCGCGAACGTTCGAGAATCAATACGCCCGCCATTCGCTGATGCTCGCTCGGGCCCAGAAGAGCGAGAGACCCATTCCCATCGACACAATTTCTGCACCGATATTGGGAGCTGCGACTCCTAAGGGAACATGATGATGATTTTCCGATTCAGAGCTACTGACTAGCGTTTTGCGCCAGTGCGTAATATCTACAGAGTCGAGGCTTCCGGCAACCCGAGTAAAGCTGACAGGTTCGGTGTCCGATCTACGCTCGAATCTCGAATGTAGACTCCTCGCTTCACCGAGCTCCTCGAGTGGATTGAGAATACGACCCCCGCCACCTGAGCTGAATCGCTGACTGAGGCACTGCTAGCTGTCCAGGTATCGCGGCGCGACATGGATTCAAAATGGAATCGCGGAGAAAAGGCCGCGATTGTGGAAAATTAGGAAAGTTGGGCGAGACGGAAACCCCGGTAGCATCTGATGTCGCACTTGCCGCCGGCATCGATACCGCGAACAGAAAAACGGTCTTCAACGGTATCCCGTCCCCGGTGTTGTCGATTCTGGTTATGGTGGAGGCGGTGGACCCGCTTGCCGTCATTGTCGGAGCGGCCGAATCTGCTTCGCAGGCAGGCAGACAGATGTGGGAGAATAGTAATAATGAGAAGAAGCAATCGGAGACAGTGAATCAGCCTGAGCTCCAGCATCCGAGACGGAATTGGAGCAGAAATCGAAGACAACAGGGAAAAGCGCAACGACAGCGACAGAAAGCGCCCGAGCCCGTTCCCCGATCGATCGACCGACCGAACCAACGATTCGTCCATCGATCGATCGATGAAAAGACGGACCGACGAGTGGTTGGACCGACAGACGAACAGAGGTGGCGACAGACAGACTAATCTATCGCTGTCTTTTTCATTTGATTGATCCGAGATTGATCCAACATTGGAATGTTCCTTCATCATAAGAAGTTTGCAAGC